ACTCAGAAATTCAAAGAACTACTCCTCACCAAAGAAAGTGTTTCACTCAAGCACTCAAACGTGTATCACTCAAGCTCTCCAAAGTCTATCACTCAACTCAAAGGTGTATAGTGAGGTGTTGGCGTCTTTTTCACTCTGCTATCACAATGTAACACAAATTAACTTTGCCTTTCATTTAACTACAATCAAACATACTAACAAATTAGTTCTCATCACAAGGGCTTTTCATGGCTTGTAACTTGGCTGGGCTAAGAAGGAAATTGGTTTTTCTGGTCAGCAAAATCCTTGAGTTAAGAGAGACATTTATGATTTCATCATTCAAGCACAAATTTACTTTCTTTTTCCCAACTTTCCCTTGCATTGAGCTTTTCTTTTCTTTTCTTTTCATTTTTCTTTTTCTTTTGCTTTTGCTTTTCATGTACTCACTGTTTAGCTCAATGCTTTTTCTTTTTTTTTCCTTTCTCAATCTTTCCAGCAACCCCAAACTTGAACCTTTATCAATACCTCACAAATGTTCTCAACTTCACTCAAGGTAAAGATTTTCAAAAAGGGTTTTCAAAAATTGCATAAGGTTCAAGGTTCAAAGGTTAGAACAAATTGTTCTTTTTTTTTCAAAGGGCAAAATTTTATGTGAAGGCTAAAAGAATAAGGGACAACAAAAGATGGCCTTGATGATATGAAACCTACAAACAAGTAGTTCAATCACAGAAAATTTGGGCAAAATCATTTATGCTTCCAAAGTAATAACAATTATTCATAACAACTCTGAAGCCCAAAACTCACACAGGTAAACTCTCAAGTCCCAGAATTCAGAAAAACACCCTGCTCAATATCTCAATCAAGTTTTACCTCAAGCACCTGTTTCATACATTGTGAGCCATCACCTGTATATCAGCACATCATGCATCATCTCAACATCAATCAATACACTAGAATATCACAAAGCAATACTTATTACAAAATACAACACAATTGAATCAAAGAAGTGTGGTTCATTCAAGCAATGTACAATGACAAAACAATTGATTAAAAAGAAAGGTTTAGAAAGTTAGGTTGCCTCCTAGTAAGCGCTTCTTTAACGTCACTAGCTTGACACCATCATCATCATCATAGCATCCATCAGTAGATGTCTAATCGCATAGCATCCATCAGTAGGTTCTAATATTTCTTATCTTCATTGGTATCCCTCAGTAGACACCAATCTTTCTCATCTTCATTGGCATCCATGAGTAGATGCCTAATCACCTAACATCCATTAGTAGATGTCTAGTCACCGTCCTCTTCCATAACAACATCCATCAATAGATGATGTCACTCATCATCCTCATCATAGCAACATCCATTAGTAGATGTTGTAGAAGCATCCATCAGTAGATGCTATCATTATTGCCATCAGAAGCAACATTTAACCTAAAAAAACTTAAACACACAAAGAAAAAAAATCAAATCAAAACCACACAATTAAATCAACTAAAAAGAAAAGTTCAGAAAAATGGGCTATCATTTATCGTAGCAGCATTCATAAGTAGATGTTGTTATCTAAATCCTCTTAGCATCCCTCAGTAGATGTTGTCCAGCATCCATTAGTAGATGTTGTCTGATGGGTGTCGCACCCCGTACAAATTTAATGTGCATTAAGAATGCAGTATAGACTAGGAAGTGACTCCTAGGTCGTCCCAAGAACCAAATGTGGTTCAGGTAATAGGTCTAACACGTAGAGGGGGGTTTTGAGAGTATTTTTGTGATTAGAAATGAACTAAATTAAAATGGAAATTAAACACAACCGAACATAATTGAAAGCATTAAAGTGAATGAAAATAGTAAACCGAACAGTACTAAACCGAACATTTGACACCAGCGAGATAATTAAATTTGGCGTGAAAACTAAATGCATGACCCACTTGAAATTGCTAAATCATAAATTGCATAAGTTGGAAATGAAATTGCTAAACTAGAAAAATCATCATTGCAGCGGGAATAAAAAGCAAAATGCAACATTTATGATAATAATTGGAAGACAATGTGTCAGCAATTTAATCACGATGCAGTGGGATAAGAAAATGCAACTCTTTAGCTAATGAATAAAATGCAATGTAGCTGGAAAGCACCGTGTGTACCCCTCTGGATGTGACACCCATGTGCCCTCCTCCAAAAGTAAATCATCATGCTTCTTCTTGAAAATGAATTAGCGCCTCCCATATGCCATGAATCAGCGCTTCTCAACAACTGTTCAACGTGTGCACACTTCTTTTCAAATGAAATATCAACCTAATTTATAGAATATGAAAATTGAATTCTAATTCAAGCATGAAAAAGAAAAACGAGACTGGACACCATCCATGATTAAAAGAAAAATGAATTCACACTAGAATCAAAATCACCGCTGGAAGCAAAATTAAAGCATTGTCTAAAGGAAGAAAACCGAGTGTGTGCTACTATCCTCAAGGAAAGAAAAACTAAATCCTTGTGCGTGAGGTTGGAATAAAAATTAGAATTTCATTCATCAATCACCGTAACAGCGTTGCACACTTTCTACCATTGAAAAAAATATAAAAAACGTTCAAAGAAAAGAAAACCATGAGGTTGGCGGCTGGCTCTCCATTTCCCGTCACAGCCCCCCCCTCCCCCCCCCCCCCCCCCCCCCACCTTCTAAAATGAAATGTGCCTTTTTATATGGAGTGGTGGCTGCACCAAAAGCCTAGGGTGCCAAGTCACTCACCCCCACTCTTGGGCCCAACATCTTTTTTTGCCAAAATTGGTCCAAAGTGCACAAGTTAATTCAAAAAGTCCTAAACAACTAAATTACAATATAATTAAATTTAAAATGTCTATGTGGAGAGTCTTGAATTGTGTGACAGCCTTCCTAATGTCCCAAAATGTATTTCCAAAATTCTCCCTGCAATCAATAATGAAAATAATAAGCTCGGATAATTCAAATTAATTAAAATAAGAATTTCTAATCAAATTAAGCAAAACTAGAAAAAATAGCAAAAATGGGAAAATACTGGACATTCAAGCACAATTCCCTGGTTTAATCTAGCATAATAAGCTAAGGGAAGTGAAGAAAATATTGACTCATCATTGTCATTCCTGCAAAGCAAATTCAAATCCAAAAGAAAATGTCAGAAATTGGGTTGCCTCCCAATAAGCGCTTGTTTAATGTCACGAGCTTGACACCACTAAACTCAATCTGGATCTTTGACTTTGGTGTTCCATTTGCTTTCATCACACTAACTTATCGGCAACATCTTCGAGTTCACCATCTTTTCCCTCCTTAAATAAGGAGCCTCAATCTCATTGATTCCATTCTCTTTGATATCTTTAACCACTTCATGCAAAGAGTCTTGGTGAACATGGCACTTGAAGACTGGCACTCAGCACCCTAAAAGGGGCGCCTAGGCACGCCCTACAACCTTCTTCCTCCTCCTTCTCTTGATGATCTTGTGCTCCTAGTACAGGTTTTCGGATTTTATCCTGCAGACACTAAAGAACATTGCATTAGAGCACCCAATTACATAAAAAAATAAAAAATAAAAAAAATTAAAATAGAAAAAGATAAAGAGATAGAAAGATAAAAAGATAAAAAGAAAGAAAAAATAAATAAAAAGATACAAAGATAAAGAGATAAAAAGATAAAAAGATAAAAAGATAAAAAGATGAAAAGATAAAAAATAAAAAGATAAAAAAAATAAAAAGATAAAAAGATGAAAAGATAAAAATATAAAAAGATAAAGAGATAAAAAGATAAAAAGATGAAAAGATAAAAAATAAAAATAAAAAGATAAAAAGATAAAAAGATAAAAAAAAATGAAAGATAACAAGATAAAATTATATATAAAGTCTAATCGGTTAAGAATCACACAAATAGAATAATTATACCACGAGTCTCCGACAATGATGCCAAAAACTTGTTAACAACATTTTTGATCCTCAGCAACAATGACAAAAACTTGTTGATGGATTAGCAAGTGTACCACATCGCATAAGTCATATAAAATGGTAAAACCAATTATCGTATCCCAAGAAACTCACGACACTAAACAATTATGTGATTACTCAACTAATTAAGACTCTAAAGAACATATTTTTAGGGTTTTTGAAAGCAAATGCAATAAAATAAACATGAGTATAATTTGATCAATTGAGGCTAAACACAAGAATGAATGGATGAAGTTGATAATATGAGATGCATATGTTGTTGGGGTTTAGATTACACCTAATTTACTCTCATGTATATAAGAATTCTTCTTTATGCATTAATGTTAACGTCACTCACTAAATCACCTAAAATCTACCCTCAAGGAAAATGAGAGCTGCCAGATCCCCAAAATCTACCCCCAAGGGGTGAAAAGTGTGTTTCTGTGCTCAAGCCATCAAAAGATACAAAACCTAGAGCGTTAGGATCCTTTAAATAGAGTCGAAAAAGAGTAGAAACAGGGCCTGGTCCAAAAGAGTCGAAACAAAGAAAAATTGGGCCTTCAACGACGCACGACACTCGGGCACGCCTAGAAGGGCGCCCGGGCGTGCTGCGGCACTTTCTAGCACTCAAGCTCCCTCTGGGGGGCGCCCAAGCCTCGTAGACTGCAGTCTCTTGACTTTTTTGCACTCTGGTTGACTTTTCTGCATTCCAGCTCTTTGGTACTTTAACTCTTCCTTCAAATCATTCCAATAGCCTACAAAATCAAGGGAATTTATTGATAAAATCATCAAGTATAATCTCAACTCTCTTATTCACAAAACTAAAGCAAAAACATGAGTTAAAGCAAGTTTCTAAGTCAAAAAGGTTGCATTTATTATCAAAATTACATCACAAATAACGGTATTTTCAACCGTTATCAATTCTCGACGTATGATATATGTATAACGATGGATATTTGTGTTCGTGTACCTATACAATGATAGTTTATTTTTTTCCTTCAACGTATGATAGGTATTTATTTTTGTTTCTCTACGTAAGTTAGTTTTTTTTTTCGTGGATTCTTTTCTTTTAGTGTAGTAGTATGGACCGAAGCTGGATTCATCAGCGTCGTATTAGTGAAGAGTATGAGCAAGGGGTTTATGAGTTCATACAATATGTTAAAGAAGAGACAAAACCAGTGAACGGGGCATATTTTTGCCCTTGTGTTCGTTATCTCAATCAAGTATATGAAGACTTGGACAACATTCGTGATCATCTATTCATCTATGGAATAATGGGAAGTTATATGGTTTGGACTTGGCAAGGGGAAGTATTATATAAGCCAATAACTTTAAGAGGTTCGGATTATGTCGACGAATGGATGAGTGATCATTTAGACGAAATGGTACGTGATGTTGGCGAAGAAAATTTTGGAAGAGCTCATTTATACGATAGTCTTAAGAACAATTCAGAGCAAGAGTTGTATCCAGGATGCATCAAGTTTACAAGGTTATCGGCTACTTTGAAATTGTTTTGTTTGAAAGCAAGAAACGCATGGATTGATAAAAGTTTCATGGAATTGTTGGAGTTGCTGAAGGAGATGCTACCAGAAAATAACACATTACCTATCTGTAATTACGACGGGAAGAAAATTCTATGTCCAATGGGTTTGGAATACCAAAAGATACATGCATGTCTCAATGACTGTGTATTGTATAGAGATCAATATGCTTCAATGAAGGTGTGTCCGACGTGTGGTTCATCACGATTTAAGAAGAAACTTGGTGGAAATAACGATGAACACAATGAAGGTCCACCGGCTAAGGTCATGTGGTATTTACCTATAGTACCTAGGTTGAAACGATTGTTTTCTGTTAAAGAAGATGCGAAGAATCTTATGTGGCACGTTGATGGAAGAAAATGTGATAATCTTCTTAGACACCCAAATGATTCCCAAAAATAGAAGAACATTGATGGAACATTTAAAGAATTTAGTGAAAAGCCAAAAAACTTAAGACTTGCACTTGCTACCGATGGTATGAATCCTTATGGCAACTTAAGTAGCAAACATAGTTCATGGCCAGTTATTTTGATGATTTACAATCTATCTCCTATGTTGTGCATGAAGAGAAAATACATGATGTTGTCTATGATGATATCGGGTCATAGACAACATGGAAATGACATTGATATTTATCTAAAACCGTTAATTGAAGATATAAAAATGTTGTGGGAAGAGGGCGTCGAGGTCTTCGATTCATATTCAGAAGAAAACTTTTGTTTGCGTGCAATGTTGTTTTGCACCATAAATGATTTCCCAGCATATGGGAACTTGAGTGGTTACAGTGTTAAAGGTCATTTTGCATGTCTGATTTGTGAAGAAAATACTAGATATCTTCAACTGAATCATGGGCATAAAACTGTGTACACAAGACATCGAAGATTCCTTCCTCGAAATCACCCTTACCGTAGATTGAAAAAAGCGTTTAATGGAAGTCCTGAGGATGTGTAGTGTGCAGACCACGTAATGGGAAAGAAGTATACGACCAGGTGAGGAACATTGATGTTGTCTTAAGAAAACATAAGAAGATTGTTGAGAAAAACATTTGGAAAAAGCGATCAATATTCTTTAATCTTCCATATTGGTGTAAACTTGATGTGCGACATTGCATAGACGTGATGCATGTTGAAAAAAAAATGTATGTGATAGTGTTGTTGGGACTTTACTAAACGTTAAAGGAAAGACGAAAGATGGAGTGAAAGCACGACAAGACTTGGTTGACATGAGAATCCGTTTTGAGTTACATCCGCAATCCGTAGGAAGACGCAATCCGTTTTGGTTGTCACACTCTTTCAAAAAAAGAAAAACAAATCTTTTGTCAATGTTTACATAGTGTGAAGGTTCCAAAAGGTTATTCGTCGAATATTAGTAGCCTTATTTCTATGAAAGCTTTTGTCAATGTTTACATAGTGTGAAGGTTCCAAAAGGTTATTCGTCAAATATTAGTAGCCTTATTTCTATGAAAGATTTGAAGTTGGTTGGTTTAAAGTCTCACGATTGTCATGTCTTAATGCAACAACTTTTACTAGTAGTTATTCGAGCCATATTACCTTCCTCTGTTAGAGGTATTCTCACACGTTTGAGTTTGTTTTTCAATGCCATTTGCAAGAAAGTTGTTGATTCTCGACAGTTAGATGATTTGCAAAATGAGGCGGTCAGACTATTGTGCAAATTGGAAATGTATTTCCCACCCTCATTTTTTGGTATCACGGTTCATTTGATTGTCCATCTACTGAGAGAAATTAGAATATGTGGGCCGGTTTTCTTGAGGTGGATGTACCCGGTTGAAAGATACATGAAGATCTTAAAGGGATATGTTAAGAATCAATTGAGATAGGAAGCTTCGATTATAGAGCACTACATTGCAGAGGAAGCCATTGAATTCTGCTTAAGTTATATGCCAAGTTGTGGCCCAATAGGACTTCCAAAGAAAAGACATGAAAACAGACGTGAAGAAAAGGGAGTTCGAGGAGTAAGGATTGAAAGTGTTAGTGGAAAAGAAGTCAATCAAGCACATTTGTACATTTTAAACAACACAGAAGATGTTATTTCTTACATTTCACAACACATTGATGAAATTAAGTCAGCACATCCACATATGAGTGAAAAGTGGACACTTAATGAACATAACAAATCCTTTTTAGGTTGGTTTAAGAAAAATATTTATGCGACTCCGAATGTTTCTGAAAATCTATTGAGGCTAGCTCGTGGACCTAACACTGATGTGATTACTTTCGGCGGCTATTAAATAAACAATTACTTGTTCTATGCAAAGGAGGAAGACGATAAAAGTAGAGTTCAAAATAGTGAAGTTACCCTACAAGTTGATGCTGTACACTTTTTGATGCGGGCTGTCGCGGCCCATCAAATTTGATTGCAAATAAGAATGCAGTATAAACTAGGAAGTGACTCCTAGGTCATCTCTCAAGGACCAAATGTGGTTCGAGTCTCAGGTCAAACACGTAGTGGGGGAGTTTTGAAAGTGTTTTTGTGATTCAAAATGAACTAAATTAAAACACCAATAAGCAAAGCATAATAAACACAAGTACAGTCCGGAAATCTCAGAGAAACAATGTAATATCACTAATGACCAACCCAACTAACTTAAGCTAACATTAAATTAAAGAAAACTTGCTTGACTCACTTGAATAAAAATTGATACATCAGAAAACACACATTGCATCTTGGAATAAACAATTGCTACACTTAAGCTAATAAAACTTCAATTTAAAAGAGTTGGAACCAATTGAAATGCAGCGAATATAAACGAAATGCCAAAGTGTGTGACACGTGGAAATGCAATAAATAAATGACAAAATGCATCATTACTATTGGAATAAAAGAAAATATGCCTTATCTAATAAATGAAAATGCAATATTCGGAACAACTAAGAAAGAAATAAAGAAATCTGTGTTGCACCCAATTAAAGAAAAATCAATCTCCGTGCTCTTCTAAAATAAATCACCACTTCATTCTCAATCTTCGTGCACCTCTTGGGACATGAGCTGCTGCCTCTCCAGCCGTGACAACTCCTCTTGCGTTCCCACTCTTAATGCGCTACATAACTTTCTAAAGTGAATAATCAATTCCCCTCCACCTCACGGCTCTCTAAATGAAGGATGAATCACCGAATGTGCACACTCCAGGATAGCCCGCAAGGTGAGTGCCCCGTGCCCTCTGAACGTGACAGCTGCTTGCTCTTCCGTGGACAAAACCAAATGAAAAAGAATGTAATGAGAATCTGCTCATTCACGTGCTGATGCTCCAAATGTGCTAGAATTGATGTGACTTCTCCCCTTTGCTGGACGTGACACCTACTCCCACCTAATCTACTTCTTCATTTCTCAAATAAAAGACATCTCCAACCTAATCTACTTCCAGCTCACATTCCCGTGCATACCATGCCCTTCTTCCCATCTCCACGTTTCGCGCTAGGACGTCACACCTTTTCTAATATTGAATCACCGCCTCTCCAGCAAAGCAAAGAAAAATAAATTAAACCATTGTGCTTCTCATTCCAGCATCACAGCGTGCACACTTTTGTTCATTCTAAAAGCTTCAATCACCGTTTCCGTAAGTTCCATGCTTCAGCCCTTTCTTATATTAAGCAAAGATAAAAATCACCGCTTCATTTCAAAACAAAAGAAAGAATGCTTCTAACATTCTCCATCTACCGTAACGTACTAAAAGAGAAGAAGAAAATGTGTTTTTCCATTTCATCTCAATGTAACAGGGTAAAGAAAAATGTTCCCAAAACATGGAAGACCTCCTTCGTGACACCACACTGCTCCCAACGTGATGCTGCTTCCAAAATGTCTAGCGTTGCCTCCTCTCTCATGTGCGTGCAGCTGGAAATAAATAAAAGGAACCGATAGCTCCTTTATTGTGACCGTGACCGAGCTTTTCTTCTCCAGCCAAAAACGATTCAGCGCTTCCTACTTTGCTTCACCAAGCTGCTCTTCTCCTAGAGTGCTTTTACTGTGCAATGCTGGACATCATAGCGTGCTCCGCTGCCTCCGTGTGTCTCCAACTCAACATTAAACTTCAATAGAAATCAACCCTCTCTTCCAAAATGAAAATCACCGTGCAGTCCAATAATGAAGCATTATTGGGCCGAAGGTTCACTCAGGAGTTTCATGAACCAAAATGAAATTAAATGGCAAATTAAAAACGTAACAGCGTGCACAAGACAAAGAAAAAAAATAAAATTGAATCAGAGCTTCATTCTTCAAAAAAAACAAACGTGCCTCCTGGTTCTCTTCATTCAAAACAGCGTTCCAACCAAAGAAAAGTTCAAAAACAAAAGCCTAAAAAAAACTAAAGACCGAGAGAGTGAGTGGCAAGTGGCGGCTATAACCCTTGGCCGTGTGTCCTCTCTTTAATAGGGGTGGGGTCCACACAATAAAACCCTAGGGTCCAATTCACTAACCTCTAATTTTGGGTCTAATATAGTTTACCAAAAATTGACCCAAAATGTAAGAGTTGATTCAAAAATTCTAAACTACTGAATTACAATTTAATTAATTCTAAAATGTCTATGTGGAGAGTCTTGAATTTAATTGCATTCTTCCTGATGTCCCAAAATGTATCTCCAAAATTCTTCCTGTAATAAAAAAATGCACTTAATCAGCTCAGAAAACCCAAATTAGCACAATTACAAATTTCCGACCAAATTAAGCAGAATTCGGAAAACGGGGAAATAACAGACAATTAAACACAATTCCCTGGTTTATTTAAGTGCAATAAACTAAATATAGTTCAAGAAATAAAAACTCATCACTTTTCCAGTTCATAGGATAAGAATCCAATTACAGCATCAATCAGTTGTTTTGGAATAATACAAGAAATTTGGGAAATTGATTATGTCACTTTTAGAGTTCCAGTTTTGAAGTGTAAATGGGTTGACAGTAATTTTGGTGTGGTGACAAAAGACCTCGAATTCACTTTGGTGGATCTTAACAAAATGAGTTACACGAACGAACCATTTATTATGGCTAGTCAAGCAAGACAAATATTCTATGTCATTGACCTAGTGAATCATAATTGGTCAGTGATATTGGAAGGCAGAGCCATGCACACAACTGATGATGAAGACTCTCTAGATATACTTGAGAAAAGCTCCTTCTCATCAAGAACCATTGAAAATAAGGTTGATGATGTACCCAATAAAATACATGCAACTCGATGTGATCACAACGAAGGCATATGGGATAAATAGGTGTCTTAACACTGTTTTAATTACTTGTACAATTTATTTATTTTGTTTGTTCTAACTATAATTTACTAACGCTTTGTAAACATGTATGACGAGCTCTGGATCAGGTCCGACGGGAGGAGGGGGTAGATTTGTGACTCGGATGCCTATAACGGTATATTTAACCGTTATCACAACCCAAAACTT